TCATATTGAACCCTATGGATTAGGAATGGGATGTCACTTACAATAAGTTCATATGCGAGTAAAGGCAGGTGAGCAAATACTTTTGGCAATATAGTGTAGTTTAGGTGGGGCCCTCCCTCCTTCCTTTTTTCCTTCTGTAACTGCCCAACTCCTGACAACTTTGGGCAGTATATGAATACATTAAAAAACCCATAACCATGGTATTCTTTTGGGCCTGCTATGGGGGCTGGGTAGCATAGTATTGTGCTGGTTCACCTCCTTTCTCCAAGGTCAATCCCAACTAGTGTTAATAGGGAGTGAGAAATCCAGTCCTCGGCTGCTATTCTGTGCTCTGCTCAGGGCTTAGTACTCTTCCCATTCTACATGAAGCTGCTGAGTGAAATAATCTATCACTATGGGTTGAGATATCACTAGTATGCTGTTGAACTCCACTCCTGAGACCCAAATGTTGACGTCGCTCCCTCTCATGGTGCCTGGAAGCTACAAGGCTTAGATGGTGAACAACAGACTTTGTCTGAACCCTGACAAGGCCACTTGGCTTTGGGTGCATGGAGCTTCAAGATCCAGGACTTTAACATCTTTAGTGCTGGACGTGGTGGCACTACCCCACATAGACCCAGTCCGCAACTAGGAGGTTCTCCTAGATTCGGGACCCCTACTTGAAGAGCAGGTGATTGCCTGTCTGCTTTTGGGAACAATTCAAGGTGATGGTCATCGCATTTAAACCCCTGTATGGTATGAGTCCAGTCCACCTGAGGAAATGTCTCACCTTGATAGATCAGCCTGCCTCATCCATGCTGGCAGAGGAGGCATAGTGTGGATCCCATCAGTCAAGGAATTTTGGCTGGTGAGTTCTGCTATGGCTCCTGCCCTCTGGAACATCTTACCCCATGAGGTGAGATATGACTCCCATCATTTTGACATTTCAAAAGAACTTTAAGACCTGGCTCTGGTAGATGGCTTGGGGGAGCTTTGTATTGGAGGCGATTGACTAATTAAAATTCAATGCCACCTCTCCTTTCCATTCCCCCGTATGTCCAGCTCCCTTCTTGCCATCTTTTCTCCATTATTTTATCTGTTAATGTTTTTATCTGCTGTGTTTTTATAACAGATGATTTTAATGTTTTAATATTTAAACTGCCCAGAATTGTTAGCTACAAGATGGGCAGTAAATAAATAAATATATAGTCATAAAAACAATGCATATCAAAACAAAACAAAACTGATATTGGCAACAAGAATGTAATATAATATAATGCAATGCAATGCAATGCAATATAATACAATAAAATACAATACAGTAGCAGAGTTGGAAGGGACCTTGGAGGTCTTCTAGTCCAACCCCCTGCCTAGACAGGAAACCGTATACCATTTCAGACAGATGCCTATCCAACATCTTCTTAAAGACTTGCAGTGTTGGGGCATTCATATAATAATACCTCTTCTAGCAATGGACTCCTCTGGCCCAACGGCCCAATATCAGGTTCTTCATAGAATAATAGGAATGAACTCCATCTGAATCTCAGACAACAAGCTATTCCACAGTGCAGGCACTCCGAATCCTATCAGATGACACTGCTTGATAGAAGGGAGCCATAGAATGCCAATTCTGCCAGGTCTGCTGGGATTGGCAAAAGTAACAGAAGAAATATGGTTTTGCAAATAGTTTATAGGTAACAACTGGTATCTTGAATTACTTCTGGAATCATACTAGAAGACAATTCAGGACCAAAATTAGTAGCATCACTTAAGCATACCACTGCATTTTGAACAAACTGGATTTTCTTACAGATCTTCAAGAGTAGAACCAGTCACCCAAGCAGGAGATGCCAAAAGAATGTGTTACCATGACCAAAGTGTCCTGCTCCAATAATAGGCACTGAGCAAGCCTGATGATAATGACACAATGTAGAGCATCTCCTGTCCACATCGCTACCTGCTCTTCCAGTAAGAGATGAGAGGTGAAAGTCTCGGGATTGTGCACAAATCTCAAATAAGGAAGTACAACCCACTGGAGACTAACAATTAAATATCCCCAGGACAGGGCCACCAAATAAACCCTGCCAGTTGATTTTGTCAGGGTTGGATCTGTATTTGTTCCTCTCCATACAGGCCTGTACAATCTCTAGAGTCTAGACACTGGGTGAGGATTTCAACAGTATTACTTGATTGTCTGGGATTGACACATACAACTAGGCATAATAATCATGTTGATAATAGCTGGCTCCAAATCAATGGATGCTCTCATCTTGGAGGTCATTCTACTCACATCCAAGAGTTATCAAGAATTTTTCATTTTTGACTACGAGTTATAAAAATCATTTGTGAAACACAGCGATGTTATTTTTTATTTTTGCTTGCTTGAAGCGTTCTAACACAACTGTTCTCAAAAAATATTCTGTATTGCAAAAAAACATCTTTTGTTCATTGGCAACCTCCTAATTTTTTTCCCCAAGCAATACCTCTTGGTACTGCAGCAGTGAATTGAATTTGTGCTTCCCAGGCTGGCAATTATTTTAATCAAGTCCTTTCTGACAAGAAACATAGGTTTTTTTGACAACATAGCAGATGACATTTCATTTCAAAACTCACAGAAATGGCTTAGAAAAAAATAGCATTTAAAATAAAATGTGGGAACATAAAAAACACGGGCACTTCAACACAGTATATTGCTTGAACAGAGTGGATTGATTCCAAAAAGAGTGATGCTTTGAACAGATCTACTTCCGTGAAGAAGACATAAGCTAAATCTAATTTGTTAATTACACAGAGGCCCTCTCTACAGGGTGGTCTGCAGTAGGGTGGGATACCAAAGTCAAAATGGTGGCCACAGACGTGTGAGTGACACCTTTTTATTTTCCATCTGTGTTGTGCATTGGACACATAAGAAAGGGGTGAAACTTCAATCACATGGGCACAGGCCCTCTCTTGATACCTATCCTTCCTTTGCTAACTTTTGTCTCTCTGTGAATTTTGTGATTGATCGTTTGGGATTTACTTTCCATCTTCTTTCTTTTTCAGTAAATGGGTGTTTATAGATTACTACATAGGAACATAAAATATTAAATTATCAATAAACTTAAGGCTCACTGATTTTAAATAGTCTTTTTTAAGGCAGTAAAAAGTGATTCCAGATTGATGGCTTCTAGCACTACTGATCAGAAGACATTGTAGATGTGTTGCTGGGTTCCATATGAATGAAGATTGATAAAAAAGTTGGGAATTCTCCCTCCCCCCCTCTCTCTTTCTCTTTCGCCCCCTCCCTCCCTCTCCATCTCTCTCTGTCGTTCTCTCTCTGACACACATATACACACCTATCTACTATCATCCATCCATCCATCCATCCATCCATCCAGCCAGCCAGCCAGCCAGCCAGACAGACAGACAGACAGACAGACAGACAGACAGACAGCCTATCTATCTATCTATCTATCTATCTATCTATCTATCTATCTATCTATC